CTAAATTGAATTGACTAGGATTTTCACAGTTCCAAACAATTTCACTCAGTTGCAGTTGCTGTGGATAAAATTTATCTGGGCAGGTGGTGAGTTAAGGGGTGCTGCTTGCTGCTGCTACTGTTGCTGTTGCTGATGAAGATGATAATATGTTTTTCTCAGACCTAAATTTTAAGTAACAGTGTGTCCCAGGAGTAGGCAACCTCTGGCACATGTGCCAGTGCGTGACATACAAAGGCATTTTACTTGGCATGTGCGCCTCTGGGCAGACAGCAGGAAAGAGGCAGGGGCTTTGTGCCACAACAAGGATCAGGCCCCTCACAGCTCTCCCACCATCCGCCCCTGGCATGCCAACTTCTTACAAGTCAAGGTTGCACGTGTTTTTGCCACTGCACGCAAAAATGTTGCTGACCCCCAGTGTATCCAGTCCAGATGACTGTCAGCATTGCTCATCCTTTATGTTGTCTGATATGTTAAATACACTCATTACCTCTTTGCAAGCATTAGAGATTAGATATCTTTTCTGACCTGCAAAGAACAATTGAAATTTTGTAAGCTGTGTAGTTCAGTCATCTACTTTTCAATATTTAGAGAAATTTCCATCCTTAGATGCTAATATCTTTATTTGTGCATTGTTATATTTTAGGTTCTCCCTTTAGTTTTGAATTGTACTGCTTCAGTTTCTCTGGGTATTCTACCTAGTTTCAGATCAAACTATTTTGCCAGACAATTTTTTAGAACTATGGTCAGTGTCACTTCATGAACATCGTTCTCATATTCTGTGCTTAGAACCTGGATTTAGAGTTGGTCCTGATCCTGTAAAAGAGACCCTACAGGGACCTGTTGATGTCTGTGGATCCTTTTACAAAATGAAGAAAAGGTGTCCTCTTTCCAGAATTTTGGCTTTTGGCATAACAGCATATTTATAAAATGTTTATTCATATTATATTAGAGTTTTCTGTACAGCATTTCTGCAACTCTTTGCATTATTTCAATACATAGTTTTACTCATCTTTATCTAATTGTCACAAATATATTTTGAAAACTTTATTTCTTAGACATATTGCAGGACTGAATGCTAATAGGGCTAAGAATATAATTGAATGGCGAGAGAAGAATGGACCATTTATAAATCGGGAGCAGCTAAAGGAAGTTAAAGGACTGGGTCCAAAAACCTTTCAACAGTGTGCTGGCTTCATCAGGTTTAACCAAGAGTACATAAAAGCCTTTTGCAGGTAATTATTAAAGTGTGAAATATTTTGGAAAAATAATATAGCAATGGGGTATGGTTATTCCTTTCCCACTGTGTTTGGTGCCTGTGTTGAGATGAGGGGAATCCTTTAGCTCTCGTGACCTATGTAAGAAGACATGGGATAATCTTACCTAAAGCAGGGGATGGGACTAGATGACCTCTGCAGGACCTTTTCCCCCCTAATTTTCTATTATTCTAAGCCCATTCCTTCTCAAGCCAGCAAGTGAGGTGAGCTGTCTTATTGAATTAGTATGATTTGTTGATTAGGGCTAGGGGCATGTGAAACGGGCCCTATTTGATTTGGATTCGGCCCGAATCGGGGACTGTACTTCAATTTGTTGATTCGGATCACTGTCCCTGATTCAATTCAGCCGAATCCAAATCTGAAGATTTGGAGAATCAGTGATTCGGCCATAGACACAGCTTTAAACATTTTTTCTACATGCCGTCGATTCGGAGGGTTTCAATTCAATTCAGAGAAATTAAGGGGTCTCCTGATTTGATTCAGATTCGGAGATTTGGCCACTGAATTGGGCCAAATCTCCACTGAACCAAATCAGCGACTGAATCTTTGCACAGCCCTAATTAGGGCCTAGAGTCAGGACCCCCTTGTTTTGTCCGTGACTCACTGAGTGACTTTGGGTATACCATCATAGAAGATTCACGTTGGAAGGGACCTTGAGGGTTCCTGAGTCTACCCCCTCCATATATACAGGATGCATATTCTTAAATCAGCCTAGGCAATTAGTTATCTGACTTCTTGAAAGCCTCCAATGAAGGAGATGCCACTAATGGTTTGGGCAGATTGTTCCATTGTCCCATGGTTCTGATAATAGGTAAATTTCTTTAACCTCTCAGTGCCTCAGCTTCTGCATCTGTAAAGATATTAATGCCCTAAAGGCATGTGTTTAATGCATAATTCATTGTTTGTGAATTATTTTAATATACTGGATGTTAGGTACTCTAGTCATGTGTAGTAATAGTGGGTAATCAGGGAATGCATAATCTTATGGTAATGGGTGTTGTTCTACTATGAACTATATGTTTCTCTTTGACTTTTTTTTACAGCAGTCAGCAAAAAGAGCTTATAGCAAAAGGCCATGCAGGTGTTCAAATCACAAATGCGAAACAAGGCAAGAAGAGAAGCAAACCAACAACAAATGTGATGCTACAGCCAAATCCTTTGGACCAAACTTGTATCCATCCAGAATCATACAACATTGCAATGAGGTAAGGAACTGAGAGAATTTCTGAATGCTTCACAAAGTTAGTCTTGAAAATGTAAGTAGTGATTTGTTTTTGTTTTGGGTTGTTGTTGGGTTTTTTGTGGGGGTGGGGTTTGAAACTACTTCTACAACTTCTGGAGGCTGGAAGTATGCATGTATGTGTATGAGAAGGGGAGAGAGAGAAAGAAAACCTGATGATCTTTCTCACACTTCTGCAAAAGAGAGGTTCACTTCAGAAGTTCTCAAGTAAATAAAGTATTTGGAATATATCGTTGCCTATCCTTATATATGGTTCCCTATTTTAGGGTTTTCTGTTATATTTTCAGAAAGTTTAAATATTTTACTTTCACAGTTTTATTTCAACGAGGAAGATAAGTATTGTAAAGTTTGCATGGACCATACTCTATACTTCCAAATTTAAGGCCCCAGGCAGATGTTACACTTAAGATGCAATTAATTAGTTAGTCATGTCCTAAAGTGTAAACTAGCCACATGTTCAGGGGATTAATGATGAAATAAAACAGAAAACCAGCCACAAAGTTATGCAAAATATCTAATTTGCCACAAACCATGTGTAATAACTTTGTGGGTGATTTCCATCTTACCTTGTGGCAGGGTGGACTATACTGGGTTTTCCAACAGGCTCTGATGTGGTCCCTACCAGCCAACTATCAGCTGCTCGTCAGGCCTGCACTGGCCAACCCTTTCCTGTTTCGATCCTGGTGACAACCAACTGGTCAGGGCTCAAGCCCTGGGGTGGTCCTGATTAGCTGATGAACTGATCGTCAACAGGACTGGGGCCACCCCGGGATCACAGTCTCCAGGATTGGGGCCACCTTAGGATCACGGTCCCCCTGCACTGACAAATATGGCATGATTGGACTCTGATCTGAGATTCCAAAATTGTTCCTTCTGTCTTGCGTGTGTAGCATGGCAAGAGAGTAATTGTTAGGAACACAGATCAGATCCCATTGCACCTTCAAAGGAATGCCAGTCAGGGGCCTAAAGGATCATGTGCCCTAATACTGTAGCTTTAGTATTTTGTATATTAAAATCCCAGTATGTTTCTTCTCATTCCTCTCACTTATTCCTCCTGCAGTGACTCCCTTTCAACACCTTGCTATAACTCTGAGCCCCTTTCTTCTGTTTCCTCCCCTTCTGTTTTATTTCTTTTCCCCATTACATGTAAATTTCCCTTGCCATGTCACTTTTTATTGTTAGGAGTAAGTAGAGAATTCTTTTTCTGCAAATATGCATAAGTTAAACTGCTTGTTTCTACAGCTGGATTTAGTACAGGCGCCTGGCAAATGCCCTTGGATGTTTCCAACTCTGCCCAGCTTTGCCTGGCATTCAGTTATTTTCGGCAGAATTTGTAGCACCTTAGATCTGCAAACACATAGAAGGGGCAGCAGTGAATGTTTTTTGTGCACCTGTGGTTTGTTAGCAAGGAGTTCTTTCTCAGAGAAGCTGTTCAAAATGTTTTTAAAATGCTGTAATACCTAGTTTCAGGTAGTTGTAACCTATTGGGCAAAGCAGACAAACCAAGTAAGTATCTAGATAATATTGCTGATTGTTATTACTTCCATTTGGTTTTTGAATAAAGAGGTCACGGAAATGTGGCTTTCTTTTATTCTTAAAAGCAGTAGAGTTTAAACATATGCTTGGTACTAAATGTTGCTGTTAGCAAATTAACTTAGTTATGTTATTTTGTCAGCTAGTTTTACCAAGCCTAACCATTAGTGATTTCTTTTCTAAATAAAACACTTTTTTTTTGTTGATAAAAATAGTGCAACAAAGTATGTTGTTGCATGTATATATAAATGTGCGTGTCTTTATGCTTAAGCATTTAATATTACGTTCTGATTTTTGCCAGGTGATAATTAAGATGTCTATAAGTTCCCAAGTATATGAATACTGTGGCAGTTTTAGTATGTGACCTTTGGCTGAGAGGAAAATATTTTTTTCATGTAGGTCACCAGAAAGTAATTAGGAGCCCATGTGTTCCTCTCTCTTCGGGGGCAAAACAGCTGGTAAATGCTAGCTTAAGATGTGATCTTCTCTATCATCACCCTATGGTTGAAATTGGACTCTACCTCTCCTTTTGAGAAAACATTATCTCCTACCATAAACTAATGCTTATTTATTTTTTCAAGTGATTTGTGGTGAACAGGTTCTTTTCTTAATCTGTCCTGGAGTTAATTTCAGTCATAGTTAAATGTTTTAGGGTTCCTGTGAGCTCTTTGCAGTCACCATATTGAGAAGACCAAGTTTTTGCTTCCCTTGAGTTAGTAAGTTTGATGTTTATATTCAGTGAGTAAATAAAAATGTTTAAAGCTCAAGCGTTTAGACTACTGGTTTATGCTCCATACTTAAAAGGAGCATCGTTAACTTGTTGAATAGCTACTTTACATTGCTGTCATACCTTTTACAAGAGGCCTGCACACTGTTGCACAATACAAAGCCTGTTGAGCACACAAGCGGTCTTGCATTTCTTCATTTTCTCTTCCTGTGCCTTTAAGAGACTCCCTGCATCCTCCTACCCCCTTTCCCTTACACAATCTGTCAGTATTCCTCCATGCCAGGTTCACTGTATGCCTTCCTTTCGTCTCCATTTTCCTAAGTGTTCCCTCCGCTCCTCCATACAAAAAGCTTCATGTGAACCCTGTGCTCCCATATTAGTGCATCTTTGTCCTGGTCCTCAACAGAGAAGATGTGTTTAAACCTCAATTTCCCTCACCACTTCCCATTCTTTTCTTTGTCAGGGTATTAACATCTTTAACTGTACTGGGGAAAATGATTAGACCTGAGACTGGGGGATATTGTTATACCGGAATTTGCTAATGGGTACCAAAAATTAGTCTTTGATCTACAAATAATTGTAGAGGTGGCTGAAACTGCTGCCTCTGGAAAACCAGATGCCAGGGGATCCATATGCCTCCCATTTTCCTCTTTCAGTTGTTCCCACTTAGGTTCTGGCCAATAATGCCCAGCACATTGTCTGACATTTTGTAATTGATAAGAGTTTATGTTCCAAAAATGTTATATTACAGACAGATTAGAGAAATGCCCATCAAGTTGAGCAAATCTTGCTTTGCTTAATCAATAAGAAAATTCCAGTGTTCTTTGGAAATATTTAAGTGTTACATGTTAAGAAAAATAAAAGTTTTAAAACGTAATACTGTACATTACTAAAATTCTGATTTACTATTCAACATTACTGTTGATGTTCAATTTTGCCTTCCATTTGGTTTGGACAACAAAAAGGGACTGGTCATATTTGCTTTTTTTATAATCCAGCTCACTTTCCAGTTTTCATATACTAGGAATAAAATTCAGTTCCACATCACTTATTTAGAGAGACCGAGAGAGAGAGAAAGGATTGCCTCACCAAAGATAGAAATTCAGTCAATTACTGATGAAACAGAATGGCATTATGTAATATCGTCACACAAAAAAGCAACACAGAAAATGAAAAATATAGCCCTTATTCTTATGTTCTGTGATTTAAGGTCCTTTATGCTGCTGTAGCAGCAAAAGTTGCCTTTAAGATGGGTGTAGAGTACTGTGTAGGAAACTTAGTATAAATGAGAATCTGGGCTGCCATATCCAATTTAAATTCCAGAGGGAATTTTAGTAGACAGGATACAATTGCCTGATTTGGAATTTGGCCAGGAACTGAGGGTTAGCACCTCTTATAAAAAGTGTCATGGAATCTTTAATGAGCATAAGTTTTAGGCCGTTTCACTCAGTTGGTTAGAGCATGGTGCTAATAACAATATCAAGGTCACAGGTTCGATCACTGTTTCAACTGGATGATCTCTTTAAGTCCTTTCCAGCCTTACTTCTGTATGAAACAATCAGAAGATAGTATTTCAGTCTGAGTTACTAGATTATCAGTGATTTAGAGGGAAGACTGCCACCTGCTGAATCACCAGCACCATTTCATGCAGCCTGGAAGAGATCCCTTATCTATGTGTTTAACCTTTTTAGCTTTTGCAGGTTTTGAAGTCATCCAGAAGGTTGATATGGATACAAACCATGCTATATTTTATATTTACATAGTCTTTGTCTACTGCAGCAAGTAATTTTTTTAGAAGAATCATTATCTGTCCATTATATTACTGAGCATTTTGGCTTCTCAAAGTGAAACTTTGGTGGAAATATTTACAAGCAAGTTAATGTATTGTTCCCCTTGGTTTCCTATTTGGTTTGTGACCGACTTTTAATGGTAAGTTGACCTAGAACGAGGCAGCACCTTTGATAGTCAGTAGCTGGATGTCACATATTACAGTAAGTGGCATTTCCAAAGGTTTCACTCTGTTTACCAGCACTGTTTGCTACAGGTAGCTGTATGGATTTGAGAGAAAAAATTAGTTATGTTCTGCAGTAAACTGATCAAGACCAAGAAATGTAATGCTGGATTTAACACATCATTCACCTAAAGAAAGAGTGTAAAGTGAATTTCCTGCTTTCACACAGTTAACACCACTATTTGATGTTGGTTAGAAACTTCCTTTTTTCTTCATCGGAATTTCAAGGGATTATAAATAAAATTGTCCTTAAAAAGTACATAAACTGTGAAATTGAGCAGAATTCATGACAAAGCTTTTCCAGACTTCTAATATGTTGTTAAATGGCAGGTTAAAAATAAAATTATGCCAGTACTTCATACTTTAAGACTGGATAAGAACGCAGGCTTGATCCAAAGCCCATATGTTAATAGAGATATTTTTACTGGGTTAGGTGGGTATTGGTAACATTTAAGGGCATAAATCCTTGTTGCTGAACGTGTGTTCATGGGAAACCGATGGAGAGAGAATGGGCCAGATCTGCTTTCATTCGTTGTTTCATTCTGAAAACTGAAATTAATTTCAGAGTAACCATTTTCTCCAGTAGCATTACGTAAGGACTTTGTTTATGCAAATGGTATCAGTCTTGCCTTTTGTATAATAGATTTCAAGACAAATGGGTGTGGTCCAATGCATTAGAATCATTATTAGTAGG